TTATCCTATTTAATAAAAGGGTAATATGCAAATTGTCCTCTCAACTGGGAGTTTGATGGGAGTTTAACCAGGGGGTGGAGCCGGCCAGCCAACCACCTGTGGCCCCTCCCCTGTGCCAGCCCCAATTGGGGAAGGCCTGCCAGACCCCACTTGTGCACGAATTCATGTACCAGGCCTCTAGTATGTGAATATATGTGAGACACTTAAACATGAATATATACTTAGGGTATATATCTATAATAATAAAAGCATAATATGCTAATTAGACTGGACGAAGCAGGAGCTGCAAGGGAAGCCTGGGTCCCAGGTGCCAGATGGAAACTGGTGCCAGCAGCCAGGGGAAGGAAGGCCTACTCTTGCATGAATTCTGTGCATCGGGCCTCTACTCTATATTATAAAAGCCTAACCTGCTAAGTGTCCAGTCATCCAGTTGGCCATTCTACCAATCAAAGCATAATATACTAATGATATGCAAAGGTTTCTCAACTGCTTGCTATGATGTGCACTGACCACCAGGGGGCAGACAGTCAGCCAGATGACCAGTCACTATGACGTACACTGATCATCAGAGGACAGATGTTCCAATTGGTAGATTAGGTTGCTGCTGGGGTCCAGCCAAACAGTACTGAGCGAGATGGACCAGACATACCCTGAAGCCCTCCCGCAGTCCAACCTTCAGCATCTCTCTTCAGCTCCAATTATGCACCGGTGTGGTCTCTCAGCCTGGCCTGCACCCTCTCATAATCCTGGACTCCTTGGGGGATGTCAGAGAGCTGGTTTCAGCTTGATCCTTCAAGCCAGGCCAAGGGACCCCCACTGGTGCATGAATTCATGCATCAGGCCTCTAGTATTAATATCTTATCATGCATTATATTATGATAATCATAATACATATTAATATATTAAATATTTTTTTCTAAGTTCTTGAAACCCTCCCTACATACTACACACATCTGCTTGTGAGTGCAGGTGCATAAACACACACAGGCACACACAAAACAACCACAAAAAACTTCATTAGCATGAAAGTATTTGTAAACAAAGTAGAATTGACTGAAGTGTTAGCAAGGGAGATGAAGATTTACAAAGTCTTGATTTTATTCTTCCCACAAATAAAACCCTACCCCACAATTAATTTCTCTTCTCTTTAGATTATTATTCAGAATTGATATTTATAAAGATTTTATAAGAAATACTAGAGGCCCGGTGCATGAAATTTGTGCACGGGAGTGTGTGTCCCTCAGCCCAGCCTGCACTCTCTTCAATCTGGGAACCCTCAAGGGATTTCTGACTGCCCATTTATCCTAGTAGGATCAGGCCTAAATTGGCAGTCTGACATCCCTCTCAAAATCCAGGACTGTTGGCTCCCAACTGCTCACCTGCCTACCTTCCTCATTGCCCCTAACCACTTCTGCCTGCCAGCCTGATCATTCCTTAACCGCTCCCTGCCAGCTTGATTGATGCCTAACTGCTCCCCTGCTAGCCTGATTGCCCCTAACTGCTCTCCCCTGCTGGCTATCTTGTGGTGGCCATCTTGTGTCCAGATGGGGGCAGTCATTTTGTGTGTTGGAGTGATGGTCAATTTGCATATTACTCTTTTATTATATAGGATAGTTACCAACTATACACACACGTAAAATTGAACTTACACTTTACAAAGCCATGATCATTACTATATGTGCTTATATTTCCTAAAAATACTTAGCATTTGCTACATGTTATACACTGATGTTTTCTATTCTCTTTTATTTTTTTTAATGGCTGGTCACCATCCATTGATTGCATCTATGATCTATTGATGGGATGAAACCTATGGTTTGAAAACAGTGCTACCCTGAGAGACCATTCTACCTCTTGTTTCATTCACTCTTCCTTTTTTTAGTGTTACTTTTTTTAGCATAAAATTTGGGCATAAGTTCCATCTGAGACTTCTCAGTTTTGTTTCTATCCCTGGTGGCTTTGTCAAAGCCTCTGTTTAATAGGGCTGGTTCCTTCCTACAAAGGTTTTCTCACTCCATTATATAAAAAATAATGCATCCCTTTATCCTCACACATTTAAAATATTCCCATGAGCAAAAACTTCATTTAATAAAATGCCTTCCACCTAGATTTTGATTTGAATGTTATTTCTTAAGGCAAATGTATTTGATCATTTTATTTCAAACTCTAAATGAGAAATGATTGCAAAGAAAATTGAAAGCTTTTAGAAATAACCAAGACTTGAGCAAACAAGAGAACTGCAGAAAAAAGGACTCACAAAATCATTTTGCAAATATAATGCAATTTGCCTCTTCAAAATGGAGAAATTAGGCAAACTGTGGTGAGGTGGCTCCAAATCTCTCCACTAAAAATACTAAGAGAACAGGTTTAACTGTGATTGTAGCCATTTTTTTGTCCTTATAATATTATTTCTAAAAAGATATGCTACAATAATACTTAGGATATGAAACATGTCTTCTTTTCTCAGTTTCACTTGTATTTAGATACTAAATTTACCTACTGAGCCCCAAGAAATTGCCATACAATGTCTTAGCAAAAGGTGGGATGTTAATCTGCAATTGTGAATGTTTTCAATGACGCCATTTTATGGCAGGTGTATTTTATGACCTGTGTAATTAAAGCAGGGTCTGGATTCTTGCAGTTTCATTCTTCTGATTTATTTATGTTTTGTTCAGCAAGGAACTGATTTATTTATGTCTGTTCTTCTGATACTAACTGACCTTGTCAGAATCTTGCATGTGTATCTCTGGTTTATACATCATCTGTGGCTTCTTAAAGTTTCCCTAGTAAAGTTAAGACTCCATACTCACATATCAATGTCAGGGCACTTGTTTCAAAGGGCATCTTTATTCCAAATATTTAAAAAGTAGTATTTTGCATTTGTAAATGACTTTCTGTTTTGAATCTTCCACACGCACACAAAGGAGTTTGTGTCTATAATAACCTGGGAAGCTCATCCAGGGCACTGTGAGGAATAGAAAAGCATTATACAGACTGGCCCTTATTCTCAAGATTTCTAATCAAAATTAGAAAACTGTGGAGTGAACTCCACTCACCTGGGCCAGAAAATGATGTTAAGTTTTCCATGACCATTGTATCTATTTAGTATCCCACCCTCACAGTGAGAGATGGTTTAGTTTTAGTGGTTAACAACTCAGAGTGTGAAATAATTCACTCCCACACCCTGGCTGAGGACCTTGACAAATTACCGTATGGTAATTTTTCAGTCTCTAAGATGGAGATTTTTATGGTGCTGACTCATAGGGTTATTATGATAACAAATATATTCTACAAAGAAATAAGAGATGCAGAGTAAAACACTTGGCAACATGTATATGATAAAAGATATTTGCTAGTATTACAATGCAGTTTATCTACCTTGCAAAATGTATTCTTCCTTTAAGATTCAGCGTAAAGGTCACTTTCCCCATGAAGTCTTCATCTTACAACTATTCCCTATTCTTGATGTTCCCAAAATATGTTTTACTTGCATTGCATATTGTAATTATGTGTCTATCTCTTCATATAGTTTGGGGTCTCTTTAAAGGTAGAAGCCATATCAGACTTAATATTGCATTTATATGTTCTACTATAGCATTTGGCACACAATAGGTTCTTTGATTCAATCTGAAGAGTAGCATAAGAATGACTTCATTTTTGGCACAAGCTGTCTTTTACTCTGAAAGTTAGGGTAGTGCAATAAATAACAATGACTTTTCTTAACAAGTCATTCCATTTTCTAGTTGCTCAGAGGAATATATATTAATAACTGTGGATGTCTTAAAATATTAGTAATCAGTAATTGCACCTCTACTGATGCTTTGTCTTTCACATCGATATAATTACTTTTAATGTGTTTAAACCAGTGTTCACAAATATATTGAGATGGAGCATGCTCACCATAAGCTTCCCAAAGTATTCAGTAACACTTTTCTTCAAAAAGAAGTAATGAATTAAAACTTCCTGCAAATGCTCTTTTTTTTTGGTACAAAATTTGACATTTTTAAGTGTAAAATATCTATGATGCTAACACCTTCAGAAAATTTGACATATGAAGTTTTGAATCTTGTCAATACAACAAAAGCATACATACCAAATCGCGCATATATATATATATATATATATATATATATATATATATATATGTATGTATATGTATATGTATATATATATCGACATATGTGTAACTCCATCTATTGAAAAAATCCTCCTTCTACTTTATTAACCAGTACATCTAGTAAATTAGGAAATATCCAACTCATTTTGAATTCAAATAACTGTCAGAGAAGACTCATCTCAATTCACCAGTCTTTAAGATGAGGATTCTGAACAGAATGCTCCAAAGGAAACTTTATGAATAAGGTCAATGTACCCACTGGAATTACTGCTCCTTGCGTGAAAAACCTGGCAATGAACAAGCAACCACTTAATAGTCTCAGTGAAGAAACTTTCAACTAGAACAAATACTAAGGGAACTTATTCTACACTTCATCAGCACCAAATCTTCTCTAGCTTTACAGTGCTGTGGAGTCTAGAAAAATGCCTTAGGAACTAAAATCAGGTGGGCTACTTGTCTGAGCACCATGTTGCTCAAAAAACAATTGGCCTCTGGCAGGTGATGGTTATTTGGGAAAAGGTCCCTTAAAAGACTCCACTGCCAATGGAATGTTCTCAACAGTTTATTCAGTGACAACTTGACTGAAGTCTTGAAGCAGCTCATGAGGATATGGCAACTCTACTGCAAATGTTTGACAGCTTAGAGGGGAAAGTCTCTTCCATGGTAAATGCTACACCTTCAAGCCACAGTTTCCATTAGCCCCAGCATCTTTACACTGCTAAATTGTCTAGCCAGCTTTTAATAAACCTCTTTAGGAGAGAGAGAGTCAGCTGAAGGAATATTTTTTTTCGCTGGAGGCCAGGGAAGACTGAACTTTAGATCAAGCTGTTGACATAGCAACAAAAGCTCTCACCATTCAAAAGAAGATTACAATGTAGACCAGTGATTTTAAGTGGCATTTTTGAGACAGGAATGTCTGATACTGTTCTCAGGGTAGCAGCCTACTATGTTTTTGTGCCATTAAATTATCCTCTCTGGGTTTATAAATAGCTATAAGTTTATGGCTATGTTTACTTAAAATTAAATTTAAAAGAAGAAAACACTAGCATTCTTCAACATTAAAATTCTTAATGGTAGTGGATATATTCCTGATTTTCAATCTCTAGAGTTGGTTATGTTTACATAAAAATATAAAATAATTTTAAGGCACAATGGTATTACACATTTTTCATATAGACAAATTTAATACATACTGGAGTCAGATTTACAAAAGAGCATTAGAATAACTTTTCAGGACCATCAGGACAAGGATGCTTACTGTTTTTGTTGTGAAATTTTTAAAGTGGAAAACACATGTTAAGAATATCGGTGATTATGGTTGTTCTTTCTTTTTAAGAAGGTCACTGCTTACAGGAAGGACATCCTAATAAGATGTCAGAGGAAGGGCACAAAACTTGGATGATTTCTCAACATTATTTACATATATTTATTGCTTACCTGAAGGAATACTTTACTAGGGGAGAAGGCATTTATACATTTATATAACAGAAAATATTATAGGGAAGAATAGAGAAAGGGGGTTAGAAAATAATTGAGAAAAAAGAGTAAGATAGAGAAAATATAAAAAGAGATCCTACATATATGATACTATATATATATGAGGGCTAGGGGAAACTTGTTTGCTTGTCCTAGGACTTGCTGTCACTAAAGAAGGGACCTAATTAGAAGACTGGAAATTCTCTGTACTCTCAGAACTAAATTGAAATTATTAATTGTCATAACCTATGGACATCTTTATTATGTTGGCCTTCTGGAAAAACAAACAGATAACTAAACCACTAGAACTGGTGGTTTGAGTGAACTGAACATTATAAAAGATTATAATAATTACCAAAAACAAACAAACAAACCTTGAACAGCACAGTCAAATCACAGAAAAGTCATATAGGGGTGCTATCATAAAAATGGGATTACTTTAACCCAACTAATACACTGTAAGGTAGAACTCTGGACTAGCAGTTGGAACATCCTCTCAGAGCAAAGGCAGATCCCAAGCTGCGACCATGGTGTTTTCTCACTTCTATTCAATGTCTCCTGCAAACTCTGTGCTGAAGAGGCTTGTTACTATTGACCACAAAAACCATGATTTTTGTTGCCTCTTTCCTGCCTTTTCATGCTCATCCCTCATACTGGCAATTCCTCCCTAAACCCTACTGCTTCTCTTTCTGTTTCAAAATCAAGCTCTAATTCCACACTCTTAGAACACTTCTTCTATAAAATAATTCAAAAGGAGTTATTCCTTTATTCCTGTCATTCACATAATTACCGGCGAATCCTCTGAGAACACTGACCACGTCTTTGTCTCTGGGCTCAATACATGGCTGTCAAGTAAAAGACGGGACTGAAACAGATTGGACTGTTTAAATTTTCAGAAATATCATAATATGCAGCCCTTTGTGAGTGCCTAGAAATATCATCACTGTAATGTGAGTGTGCAGCCTATACCCATGGAGGTGAGCCAAGCTCTGGCCAGAGTGCCCTGCCTGCCTGTGTATGTCAGCCATGAGTACACTGGGGGTCTCCCTGCATTTCTTTCAGAAGTCTTCACGATCAATCCAAACAAAGGCTGACTCCTACCTTTAAACTCCAGGATCTCTCAGCCATGCAGCCCACCTCCACAGCAGCAGGCCTAAGCAAGCAGTTAGGCATTCCCCAAGAGCTCCTGGACTGCAAAAGGACCCCCCTCCGCGAGTGCACGAATGTCCTGCACCAAGCCTCTAATACATGTATATATATATGTGTGGATATGTATATGTGTGTGTATGTGTGTAGGTATATATGTGTGTATGTATGTGTGTGTATGTATGTACTGTAATGGTTCTGTTTCTCTAGGTGAGCCTTAACCTGCATCCATTGTCCTCTGGGTAGCTGGGGAATTTTCTGGGAGCCAGGCTACTCAGTACAACGTAAAAATAAAATTGGAAAGAAAGAACTGCATAATTAACATTTAGAAAAGTTTGAAAACAAACGCTTTTGTTCATAATTTGCTATTGCTTATTATTTAAGCTACTAACTCAGAAAGTTCAGTATAGTCATATTTTTGAAAGATCTAATTTGAGAGATTTGATAGAAGTTTGTGAATACTTTTTAAGAAAATCTTAATGTACTCTGTTCTAGCCACTTGACATACTACAAAGCAAATAAATTAAAAACTTAAATAGATTTCATAATAAAAAGTCTCCTAATAACCAGATTAATTTTATTTAATAATTCTAACCTGATAAGTGATACCAAACAGCTCCCATCTAAGCAACCCAAGAAAATTTCTATTTTTAAAAAATTTTATATTTTATCTTTAAAAAAAAAATTGTCCAGTGGTATAAAAAAAAATACTTCCTTTCTTTTGTTTTATTTTCTTTTTATCAAACAAGTCATGGCTGTGTCTTCAATTTCCACTGTAGACACACAGGTCACCAAATACTAATGACCAAATGTCAGAACTGTCAACTTCTTCAAAGAACAGGGATAAAAACCTCTCTGGACCAAACACAGATTCAATAGTCATTACTTTCAAGAAGTCCAGTGATGCCTGGAATTTGAAAAATGCTATAACAAGTTAAATCAAATGTGTTTCTGCCTATATAACTCAAATAGAAAGTAGCATTGATAAAAGTGGAATGAGTCAACAAAGGTGAAGGAGGGTGGAAGATTGGTTTGAATGGGTTATAATTACTTCATATTGAGAACTTCTGTTCTGAGTCACATCAGAAAGGTGGTATATGAAATAGGCACTCTATATTACCTCTATATTACCCATATGCCTAACATATTGTGAGGCCAAAAGGTTCTCTCTCGTTCCTGCTATGAATCTCCATTCTCCGCGCACACTTGCCTGCATGTCTCAGCGCACACTTGCCTGCATGTCACTGCATGTCAAGCATAGTTCTCAGTGGAGAGCAAGCAACCCCTGCATATGGTGGATTGTCAGACTGCCCTGAAATGGGACTCTTTTATTTTTGTAGGTCTATTTACAATGAAGAATTGGTAAGTGAATAAGCCCTTTTTCAAATACTTTCCCTAACAGTGAGGTAGGAGGTGAACTCAATATCTGGTAAATAAATGGATGTTAATTTCCACACAGTGCCATGGGAAGGTCATAGGTCTTATTCTCCCTATGCCCTTCCCTCTTCCTCTCATCTCACGTCCCCCTCCCTGTCCCAGACATGCCTACCCATCATCCAGCCACTTTATAGCACTACAGGAATTAAAGAACAGCAACTTTCTGCCAACTGGTGCTATCACCAAACCATCTTGTGTTACTACAGTGTGGTATGGTAATTAAAAAAAAGTGTAAGATGTCGAATTATTGTTATCATAACCTTACAGTATCTTGTAATCTGTCTGCTTCAAACTGTTAAAGACATAACATGTATTTATAGATTTTGTAGTACTTGGAGGATATAGAGTTCAAGAACATAGATTTAGAAGCTATTCAATATAAAATTTTGGACAAATTACAAAGCTTCAGTGACTTGATTTTCTTCCTGTTGCCTATTAAGGCCTTGCTTCAGATGCTAAGTGCTTTCCTTTTTAGTTCTTTCCCAACTCAATATGCTTTAAGTCAGTGGGGAAAAAATATGAACATAGGAAAAGCAAGAGTCTATAGCTAAAAATGTAATCATTTCTAATTCTAACCTAATCTTTCATCTCAAAATAACAGTACCTTCAGAAAATACAGCATGGTTGTTCTTTGCATATAATCACATTGTGCAAAATGGCAATATTCCACTCCTATTAAAAACACTAGAGGCCCAGTGCATGAAATTCATGCACAGCAGGGTTGGGGAGGAAATTCCTCAGCCCAGCCTGCACTCTCTCACAATATGGAACCCCTCAGGGGATGTCCAATTGCCAATTTAGGCCCCAATGCAGGATCAGGCCTAAACTGGCAATCAGACATCCCTCTCGAAATCCAGGACCACTGGCTCCTAACCACTCATCTGCCTGCCTGCCTGATTGTCCCTAACTACTCTGCCTGCTTGTCTGATCACCCCTAACCACTCACCTGCCTGCCTGATCACCCCTAACTGCTTGCCTACCTGCCTGATTGCCCCTAACCGCTTCTGCCTTGGCTCCCACACCCAGGACCCAGGCTTTCCTCCTCCAACTGGCCACATGCAACAGAATCCAGGCCGGTTTCGCCCAGGCTGGCCACAGGCACCCAGGACCCTGGGCAGCTTCACCAGGGCCCCAGCTTTGTCAGGAAGGATGTCCGAATGAAGTCTGGAAGATGTCCAGTCTATCCAGTCTAATTATCATATTACCCTTTTATTAGTATAGATTATTATAATGTCACTACATTTTTTAAACTCAACAAGACCCATTGAGATGAAATGTTTATTTTAACCTTTCCCTTCACTACTCTCCTGCCTCCTGTCTTACATTATTAAAAAAATGTTAAAGCATTACTACCATAAGCAATGCCAAGCTTAAGTGAATCATAGAATCCAAATTAATAATGCCAATAAACAGGATCCTTATCAATTGATACTTGCATGTCAATGATAACGGCTCAGACATTCCTAACACCTTCCTTCCATGAATAAAATATATCCTTGTGTCTCAAACTGTCATTCTGCTTTGTGCAACTTGTCTCCAACCCATTCCCATTTTCCTTGGACCTTTAAATCTTTTTCTTTTTCTTTTTTCCCCAGTAGGATAAAAGAGATCTAAAAAGTCTGGAGCCATAGACTGTCAACATTCCATGTGATGCTCCATTTTTTTTTCTTTATTCTATGAGACCACGTTTAAAGTACAAAGAAGTGAATGAAGTCAGAGTGGGGAAAAAAGTTGACAAATTTTACCAACCTTCACCTACTTAATAATAAAAAATGTCCCAGATATTTAAAGCATTTTGGGACCAAGTTAATTGCACTCTCTAGGACAAATTATCCCAGGTGGATGATTTTTCTATTCTTGCCTTTCTGACTCTTAACCCAAGATTTAGAGCATTTTATTAGTTTTCTAAAAATAAAAGTATCTGTTAACTGCAACATGGTCATAAGATAAAGCATAGCATTTGAATCTGAAGGATTCATATTTCAATTCTGGTATGCCAATTTCTAACTGTAGGATAAATGAATTGATTTGCATCTCTATTTTTTGTTGAGTGTTAAAAATACCTAATTTATAGGGTTACTGCCAGGATTAAATAAACTATTATGTATAATATTATTTTGTAAACTGTAAAGAAAATATAATATGATATATAAAGTTTAAATTAAAAATAGCAATACATAAAAATTAAGTCAAGATATTTACCAATACATGATATTGTTTAATATCATTTTATAATCTTTTAAAATTTTATTGTTTTAGACAAGTTATCTTAGATTTTTTTTAATAAATTATGCTGCCCATAATCATAGGTAATTACAAAAATATAACAGGGAAGAAAATTTAAACTGAGAGCTGGAGATTACTCAAAAAAGAACACAAAATAAATATTATTAACAAAACTAGAGGACTGGTGCATGAAATTCATGGACGGGGGGAGTGGGGGTTCTTCAGCCCAGCCTGTACCCTCTCCAATCTGGGACCCCTTGGGGGATGTCCAACTGCCAGTTTAGTTGAACATCCTCTCTCAATCCTAGACTTCTGGCTCCTAATCACTCACCTGCCTGCCTGCCTGCCTCATTGCCCCTCCTGCAAGCCTGATTGCTCCTCACTGCCTCTGCATGCCAGCCTGATCTCCCCTAACTGCCACCCCTGCCAGCCTTGTCGCCTCTAACTTCCCCTCACTACTGGCCAGGTCACCCCCAACTGCCCCCTCCCTGCTGGCCTGGTCACTCCTAACTGCCTCCCCAACTGACCTGGTCACTCTTACTACCCCCCCCCCCCCCAGCTGGCTTTGGTCACCCTAACTGCAACCCCCTGCCAGCCTGGTCACCCCTAACTGCCACCCTTGACAGCCTGGTAACCCCCAACTGCTATTGCCCCTCCCCCCCCCGGCCTGTTTTCCACACATAGCCTGCTGTTTAGTCATTTGGTCATTCCTAACTAACCCCTCTGCTGGCCTGGTTGCTCCCACAGCCTGCTTGTGAGGGCATGAGAGTTAATTTGCATATTACCTCTTTATTATATAGGATACTGGCCATAATTTACCTTTTCTCTAGAGATAAATATATATATATATATATATATATATATATATATATATATATATGACACACATATATATATTACATGATATTTATAATAAAAATTAAAGTCACACCTTAACTTCAAAATACCTAACAACAACATAAAAACCAATGACAATTATTATTCCAAAATTAGTAGCATGGAGAAAAATTGGCAAGGGACAGAGATTAGGTAAGTTTTTATTTAGGTGCTATTTTTATTAACCAAACATACAAAGAAGAAAGAAAATATGTTTAGAGAATATTAGTTTTCTTAACTGTTTTCCTATGTAAATAACAAATGTTCCCTAATTATTACTTAAAGCTATGAAAAGTAAGACTATTCTAACAAGTTAACATGTTATACTACTTTCAGTACATATAACAAGCCTTAAGTTTTCAACACACACACACACACACACACACACACACACACACACACAAATGTGTACTTTTTTAAGTAGAAACTTTTTCTGCTCACTCTAAATAAAAGTTGAAAAGGTATTTAAGGAACATCAGTTTGGAAGTAGGTCACATTATTATCCTGGGTTACCAACATTAAGCAAATTGCTAGAGAGGGAGATATTTAATATGCTTGCATAGTCTAAGTCATCATGACCTCACAGAACTGGAGTCCTTCCTCTTTACTCAACTTTCAACCACCTAGAGTTCTGTGCAGGTAATGTCTGATGATAGGAAATCAGGATAAACTTCAAGAAAGAAAGAAAAAAAAAAAGAAATCTCAGAAGGATGGCAGGGAGCCTAAGGGGCTATGCATGAAAGAGAGGAAGAGATCATTTGGGACAGAGGAAAGGAGTTGATTAGAATAAATTGAGTCTCTGCTGCGTGTCAAAGACTGTGCATTATTTCTGACTTTATAAGAGCCCTCCCGCGCAAACATTCTAAGCTCCATGTTACAGGGAACAAAATAGGTTCAAACAACTTAATATTCAATACATAATTATTTTGCCATGGTCCTACAGACACTTACATGTTTGGGCTAGAATGCAAACCCAGGCCTGTTTGACCCCAAATGCCTTTTTTTTTTTTTCTCTCTCACCAAAGAAGCTGTCTCTTTATTTTGAGGTGCTGCTCTGTTTTGAATAGATGTGTTTGGGGTGATAGTTAATAGTAATATGGCCATGTATGTAGAAATGTCTATATCGTGTCCTGCTCATTAATCCTTTCCGCTGCAGAGAAATAGACATTAAAGTGCTACCTAACTAATACTTACATTTCAAGTATTTAAAATAGAGCTCTGGTAAAAGGTTAGTTGAAGTACCTAACAAATTTCAAGTATATCCTTGAGGCCAATGGGATCACTCAAATTTTAGGGGGAGGGAGAGAGAGAAAACTCTAACTGTGTGTTTTAACAAACTCCAAGAGCCCCTAAGCCCACTTACCAACCAGCCACTAGAAACCAGAAAGAGAATAACAACTAGGCATAGCTCATGCCTTTTAAGGAAGAATAACTCTGCCCACTGACAGTATGGAGATCACAGGCCTGGAAGAGCAATTCCCTCTCCCTTCAGTGGGAGTGTCTGTGCAGAAGGTAAGGACTAGCAAGGGGACTGACCTGGGAAGACAAGTAAATTTGTCCTTCTGTGTCAGGTAACAATGGGGTACCTTACCTTCTCCCACACAGCAGTACTGTTATCTCTCACTGTTCTGCCTCTTGCTCCTGGACCACATTTCCCTGCCTGATTCTCAACAGCAGAAAAGGCCCCCGGTGCCTGGCTGTAGGATAGACTCCTGTGCTAACCATGCCTTGCAGGCGCCCACCCTTGTCTCCCTCTGCCACACATACTGCAGCCTGCTCCTCCCTTTGAGCTCCATTCATCAGGGTTTAAAGGGACCCACGGCCTATGGAGGTCAGGTAGACGTGATGCTGCTGCCTGTGCAGGAGCCTACGCTCCCATGGCCCTGGGGAAGCTGCCCTGGCTGGGGACTGCACAGCGCTGTGTGGAGGAGAACAAGGGAGTGGACAAATATTTATTGAGCACAGCCAGAGCTGACCCCCAGTTTGGCTACAATTGCAAGGTTGTACAGTGCTCTCTGCTTGTCTTTAGAAAACCTGTATGTCTCAGAAAAGAATTCAAAGTAGGCAAAAAGACAAATCTAACTTAGAGAAAAATTTTAAAAGTTTAATTTCAATGTGCCATTTCTAAGTATACAGTAGTTGTTGGTAGGTGTTTGTTTTTGTTTTTTCCTTTGTTTTGTTGTTGTTTTTGGGTGTGTATGTGTGTGTGGGTGGGTGGGTGGGTGGGTGTGTCTTCCTGCATTTAACTGCTCAGGAAGAAGACTATGCTGCTTTGTGATAACAGTTCAGGTTCCAACTTATTTAACTAAAAAATAAAGTTTAAAATAATTTCCATTTAAGCATTCACTGACCTTTTGTAACTATCACCACTTTTGTTACTCTAACCTTTTGAACCAGCTGTCAGATCAGCTACCCATTAAGAACTTGCTACTTAGATTTTCACTCACCTGAAATGTACATGCTGGGTTAAATGAATCCTCAAAGATGGACAAAGAAAAAGGCAGAGCACTAAAGTTTCCCATACAATAAATGCTACCTTTTAAAAGAAACTTTGTATTCTATGAAAGAACTTAAAAGAATAGTTCAAAAGAAAATAAAAAGAAATTACCTTTGTAGAAAAAGGAACCATAGTTCAATACCCTTCTTTGTCACTTTTAACAAAATCTTAGAATATTATAAATGCTTTTATATTTTAAACTTTTAAACACATTCTGAATTGAACCTCAAGGCATCCCAAAGCTACTTTTCATGTTGCTTAAATTATGTAAGGCGGATAGAGAAAGATAAATACTATTTATATGTGGAATCTAATGAACAAAAACTGACAAATGAAATAGACAGAGGCATGTACACATGGAGTACACTGACCGAGGTCAGAGGGGAGGGGGATAGAGGAGAGTGAATGAAAGAAGGTGAAGGGTTTTACCAAAGAACATACTTGCATGGCCCATGGACAGAGACAACAGTGTGGTGATGGCCAATGGCAAGGGAGAAGGGGTTGGGTGGACATGAATATGTGGGGGAACGGGCATGGAAGGGGAGAATGGAAAACATCTGTAATTGTGTGTACAACAAAGAATAAATGGATACATGATTTTTGTTTTGCTTTCAATTGCCCCATTTATTCTTTGATATTTTTTAACTTATTTTTATCTTTACATTTGAGAGTATTACAGATGTCCCCCCTTTTTTCTCCCATTGCCCCTTCTATCCAGTTCCTGCCCCACTTCCAGCCTTCACCAACCTATTGTCTGTGTCCATGGGCAATGGGTATATGCATATAAATTCTTTGGTTATTCTCTCCCCAATCTCCCCAACCCCCTTCCCTCTGAGATTCATCAGTCTGTTCCATGTTTCCATGCCACTGGTTCAATTTTATTCATCAGTTTATTTTTTTTCATTAGATTACACATGTAAGAGAAATCATGTGATATTTGTCTTTCTCTGACTGGCTTATTTCACTTAGCATAATAATCTTTTTCAAATAGTTTAAATATGGAATCACAATATTTTTAAAGGCATGTTATTTTCATGTGTTAGTTTGTGAATTAAGGAAATATTACATAATACTGTCTAAAGGGGAGAACTGTATGTTAACAGCTAAGAGGCAAGACCCCTATAAGACCGCTCCATCCTCACAAGATATGAGAAGATGTCTTAAAGTGTTACATGAATTTCAAGCTGCAGAACTGATGAAATCAGGGCTGCTGCCTTACACCTGGCTCTGTTTCCTTATACCTTTTCTAGAACCCTGAACACAAAAGGTCCCTATTGAATGTTTTCATGGTGAGCATTCTCAAAGGACACATAAACAAGGATTCTAAATTGCTTTAACACTGACTTTTTAAACTAGCAATTAACTGAGTGTTTCTTGTGTAACTTTTTTTGCATTATTAATTTATTTGGCAAACTCTTTTCATAAGAAACTTGAAATTAATTTTTAATTGCTTCTGCATTAACCACAAAAAAAATGAATGAAATGTATTATAAAGATGAAGTTCTGAACAGGAATACTACACATTGTAATATCAGACCCAGCTGCAAATGTGATGCCCTTGTCTATATTACTTACCCCTTTCTCCTAGCACCGTGGTGGTCAGCAAACTGTGGCTTGCGAGCCACATGTGGCTCTTTGGCCCCTTGAGTGTGGCTCTTCCACAAAACACCATGGCTTGGGAGAGTCTATTTTGAAGAATTGGCATTAGAAGAAGTTTAAGTTTAAAAAATGTGGCTCTCAAAAGAAATTTCAACCGTTGTACTGTTGATATTTGGTTCTGTTGACTAATGAGTTTGCCGACCACTGTCCTAGCACAATATGAAGTTACACAAAACAAAGATGGTATACTGCCTGTCCTGCAAAATTTTTAAATTACAGTTACATGGGATCTTTTTCAAATGAGGATGTGTATATTAAACAAAATTAAAGGGATATATTTCCACATAGAGATATTTCTGGGTTTACAGGTACTTTCTGTGCTGATTCTGAAAGCTCAGGAAATTAGAGTAAGTTGGTAAAAGCTTTCCTCGGTAAAAACCTCTGGGCTAGAGCACTCCTGCCCTTGCCTTATTATAGCATTTTAAATGGAAGCAGCATAGCTATATTTTTTTCGTTCTTCACCTACAATTTCAAGCAGCTCAAAAATAAGGGGTTCGTGAAGTTCCCACTAGCTCACCTTATAAATTAGCACATGTAGAATGCTAGAGAGAAAGCTGGCTGTTATCAGTTTCACAGTATCTAGTTATCGCTTCTTTGAAAGCTGTAGGTGCATGCAATTAACACTCAACAAGAACATTATCTTCAAAAATAACAGATAATTTACATGTGTTGAAGAAAAAAGGAGTTCATCCTGTTAAAAAGTTTGGCATAAATAGTGATTGAAAAGGATACACTTCCTTTAATTGGAAAGACTTTTGCTATCTACACACCTACAGGATAAAAGAATTAACAAAGTTTGGCGGCAATGAATGCTCCAGCATCCAAATTTGGGGGAATTTGTGTGAGAGGTAGAATTTTTCATAATCTTTTCTGATTTCCCTCTTCTTATGAAATTCAAATTTAGGATATCAAAATTTCAAAAGTTCTTAAAAACCTGGTTAAATAAATGTTAACTAAGACTCTTCTATGCACCAGACATATGATTAGATGATCATAGCTGGAAAAATGCTTAGGCGCCATCAAGCCACTGATTCACAAAGTTGACTATAGCATAGAAAGCTAGGCTGTCCCCAAGAGAAATGAGCACTTTCGCCAGCATAAAGCTGTCACTGGGACATGGCTGTCTAGCAGGGACACTCCCAAATGCATTTCTCTGTCTGCTAGCTGGGTTGCAATGTCATAGTAGTTGACAGAGAAGCAGCATGAAAGAAGATAAAATAATCCTACAAAGACATGTAGGGTGGTATCAGCTAGGAATGTCATATAAGTTGAGTGTAGGATTCTGGTTTCTTGAAGAGAGAAGCATTTGTCTCAGAGGTTCTTAAATTCTTCTTGGACAGACCTATATCTGCATCTGGGTGCCAAATGGAGGCTAAGGGATGTTAGTCAATGTGTTGGGAAGTTCAATAGAGAGTTAGGTAGTGGGACAACTGGAAGATAGAATAGTTATAGTAAAAGAGAGAAGCTCTTATTTTGAAAAATTAAAGTTAAAAATTTTTTAAATTAAAAAAAATTGCTCTATTGGTTGACTGAATTAAAAACCTGGTATAGCTGAGAAAGTTAAGAAAATATAATATCAAAATAAAGCTGAGAAAGTTATGTAAATATAATATCAACATTGGATTTTGTATCATTGATTTGAAGGTTCAAAATATAACAGAGATGAAAACTATAATATAGACTCTGAAGGTATAGAGGTAGGCATATACTATGGAAGCTGGCAAATAATGATAAAAAATGTCATTAGTGGATAATGTAGACATTAGAAAACAGGTGGTTCAGTGGACAAAGCATAAAACTGAACAAAGAATATATGAATAGATCAATGCCAAAAAAGGAGAAGCCAAATTGCTAACATCATCATCAAAATATTTTTAAGTCACTGATGATGAGAGCTATGTAAATTAAAATGTTGAGAGAATCACAGAATACCTATTAGAATGATTTAAAAAAGAAAAAAGAAAAAAAAAGAATGGGGACTAAAAATAAGTGTAAAAAAAAGTTATGAGAAGATCAAATTCCTATATTCTGCTGATAGGAAAGTAAACTGGGTCAGCTACCTGAGAAAGCAAATCGGCCAAATTTTGTGAAAATCAAGTAAGTGAATACCTTCTGACTCAGTAATTACATTCCAAGGTATTTTTCTCAGAGAAATACTTTCACAGGTCCAAAAAGGGACAGGAATATTTATTATGGCAGTGCCTTAGAAACTACTTAGGTCTCCACCATTAGGAACCAGGCCTGTGCATGTAACGCTCTCCAACACTAAGGGAAACTGCCTTCACAATGTGGGTTCTATGGGGTAACAGAAATTGCTCTGGACCAGACCAGCATCTGCTGTATGCCTTTCATTATCCCCTTTACAAATAGGAATGTTTGATGAAATTATCCTATGCTACTTTTACCAGGGCACAAAGGGGCTGTGGTGGGAAATTATCTTATATTTTAAATTCACGTCTCCAGATCAAAAGGAGCCATATTCAGACCTGATATGCAGGCTACTGCTTATTATCCAGATATCTTTGTCTGAGACTTATGTATCACTGGATGGGGCTTTTGGGCTGTCTACCTGGGACGAGTTCAGTATATTTTGCACAACACTACTCAGCCATAAGAAAAAATAAAATACTGCCATTTGTGACAACATGAATGCATCTTGAGAATTCATGCTAAGTGAAATAAGTCAGACATAAAAAGTTGGTGCGGTTCAGTTGGTTAGAGTGTCGTCCCAGACACCAAAAGGGAGTGAGTTCATTTCCCGGTCAGGTTGTAGGTTCAAATCTCA